CCAATTCTCTCTTTGCTGCAGATTAGGATTAGGAACTGGTCAGCATGGCTGTCCATTCTCTAGTGCTGTAGCTTGTAAGGCATTAGGCCATCTAGTACTAGTAGTTGGTAGAAACTACATCAGTCATGTTGGTAGTGGGCTGATCTAAGCAAGGTACTTGTTGTACTAGGAGTAGTTGGGGCTGTACTCAGCCATGCTCATGTGTACCTTATAGTTGGTACATGAGTTGTATATATATTATACCACTATGCAATGAAAAAAGGCAGTTCAGTTGCCACAACCAAAGGGCAAAGCCTTGGCCAGCGCTGGAGCATCTGCAGAGTGTGTGTGTGAGCTGTGCTCAACCCCTTCTTCTACCTCTAGCCATAATGAGTGAGTGTGAGTGTGCTAATGAGTGAGTGTGTGTGCAGGGCAGCGAGGGACCAACAAATTCCAAACTTAACTGTTCAACTTAAGATATTATGTGATGTTTTAATATATTATACTTTTAGTTATTTTCTACTTGTATTACCGAAACGCTTGGGAAATTTTATAGTTGTTTAGCTAATTGCTCATTGGATCATATCAAATTGTGTATTGGTGCATTGGCTCGGCATGTCCTAGAAATTAAAATCCTAGATTGACCTCTGTTTGTTTGTACCACTGGCTGAGGGGTTAATCTGTTTGAGAAATATCATTATAGTTTCTAGGACACAAGATAGTTGTTGCTAGAATTCAATCTGTGCAATTGCATTACACATGCTTTTGTTCTACAAACACACACATGTATGGACATTCCATGTAAAACATTGTTAATACTTTTGTTCATATTCAATGTCCGGAACACTTAGCTTATCTAGGCTCCTCTGTAAATAATAGTGTGTAGTGATATTCTACGGCACTGAGGATCGACACTAATGCCCTTGTGTATTTTAGCTCCCAGCAGAATTCAGGTTCACATACAATTTGCATTCACACGCATAAGGTGCTGGATCTTTCTAGCTTCTAGACCCAAAGCCACTCTAGTTACAGTCAACTTTGTGCATGGCTGACTGTCACCAAGCCAAAAGCAACCTTGTGATGTCTTCCTGTTATTCTGCTGCAACACCTAACTTCTTATCCGTGTTCACTCATGCCCCGTTGTCCCTGTGAAGTTCTCTATGTTACATGGATATGGCCGACACATATACATGGGCTGGTACGTATCTACGCGATGGATACGGCCCAACCAGCCCAACAAGCGGCAGACCACACGGTAGTAACCTGCCCACCCCTGACCCTGACCCTAGCCTAGCCCCTCCCGAGTCGTGACTCTTTTGCGCCAACTCCCACACTCAGCAGCACCGAGCGCCAACGAAGCAGTGGGAGGAGTGAGCGCCGCCACTTGCCGGCTGACATCGACAAGCCTCCGCGAAAGCCAGTGGCCACACCGGCGAGTTCTTCCTTCTCCGCCAAACTGCCGATCCACACGGGAAGAGCCACCACGACGCCCACGGGACTGGGGACAGGGGAGAAATCCGACGGCGCACAGCGTGGATCCGGCGACCTCCGGGCTCCGGCGAGTGGTGACCAGTGAGTTTATCGCCTTCCGGCCTTCCCCATTCTCGATCTACTCTGTTTCCTTAGTTCTTGTTCTCCACTTCCTCTCCCTGTTCCTGATTAGTGTTATTTCTATCTACTAATCTAGTATCCAGTAGATAGCTTCTCTAAATTTGAGTAGTGCTAGTGCTTCTGCTAGTTGCCTCTCCCTGTTCCTGATTAGTGTTATTTCTATCCACTTATCCAAGTATCCAGTAGATGGCATCTCCAAATTTTCTCCAAATTTGAGTAGTGCTAGTGCTTCTGCTAGTGCTAGTGTAGGATCTGTTGCCACAACGGACATTAAGGACTATGGGATCATGTCAACATTCTGGAGAGGTCTAGAACTGGTGGAGGGAATGCTTTATGGAGATTCAAATATTGTCCAACACAAAAGCTCAATAGCTGCACTAGAGTTGAAGCACATTTGCTGCAAAAATCAGGAAGGGGGATAAGTAAATGTCCAAGGGTTACATGTGAAATGCTTAGTGAAATGGGGAAGGAAGTTGAAAGGTGTAAAGAACTAGTGGAAAGAGGGAAGCAACACACTGTGTCCTTGCCTACTGTACCTTATTCAGGCAATGATAGCAAAAAGATTGCTATGTTTCTTGTTTGTCAATTTCTCATATTATGGACTCATGGTGAACTCACTAAACTCTAGTATGGACTTGTTATTTGTGAATTTCATGTATCACTATAATGTATGCAGTACGCACTATGAACTTATGAAGTTATGTTTTAAGATTTTAATATGCATTATTGTTTATTTGTATTAAAAAATACTAAAATGTATCCGCGTATTGGTTTTTTTGAGAAATTGTCGTATCCGTATCCTTCCAATAATGATACACATATCCATATCTGTGCTGCATCTCATGTGGCCTGTGGCCCGTTTTGGTAGCTGACACTACTCCCTTCAGTCGCAGAAGATTGGTGTTTTGTAGATGGACCAGGTCTCCTGAACACAACTTCAACTACATTTCTACTATAATGTATTTGTTGACTGCCAAAGTTTTTTATGATAATAATGAAACTATTTTTTGAGAAAAAATCCATCCTGTCCATTTTCAAATGTTTTGTATCAATGTAAACAAATTACAAATGTAACTGATTATCAAAATTTTGATAGGTTGATTGCATGTAAACCAGATCATGGTTATATATGCCAAGTTTGAACTAGCTTCAGCTATTGTTTAGTTATTTTTCCACATATGACCTAACATTTGGCTTGATCGTTGCTATAATGCTGTAATACTGTTTTATTGGCATTTGTTATATTCATTTTACTATTTGGATATACTGAGCTGGGGACTTCACTTCCATTCTTAGTTAAAGACACTGATTTGTAGAGATAATTCGCTGTGATTCTATATACATGATTATAAAAATGTGAGTTGAAGGTTGGAGTCAATATTTTTTGCTGTTGTTTTTATGTGTGTATACATCTCTATTGCGGTCTGTGTGTGATGTGCAATTCGTGCAGCTATCTTACAATTTTCCTTGCCACAGGAACTTGATCTTATATATACAGACTTCAAGATGTTCTCGGCTCCAGGCAACAATTCTTTGGCTCTTGTAGCCCCACGACCAGGGATGGAGCTGGCTAATGTTCAACATCCAAATCAGGCTCCGGGGCCTGGAGGCAAACAGCGCACATCCAGCCTGGAGGCACCGATAATGCTACTTACAGGTCACCAGAGTGCTATCTACTGCATGAAGTTCAATCCTGCGGGAACTGTGATAGCATCTGGTTCCCATGACAAGGATATCTTCTTATGGTATGTCCATGGTGAATGTAAGAACTTCATGGTACTGAGAGGGCACAAGAATGCTATTCTTGACCTTCAGTGGACTACTGATGGGACCCAGATCATCTCCGCAAGTCCTGACAAGACTCTGAGGGTCTGGGATGTTGAGACTGGCAAACAAGTTAAGAAGATGGCTGAGCACTCATCATTCGTCAACTCATGTTGCCCAGCACGGAAGTGGCCACCTCTTGTGGTTAGTGGTTCAGATGATGGTACAGCAAAGCTGTGGGACTTGCGTCAGAGAGGTGCGATACAAACTCTACCCGACAAATATCAAATCACAGCAGTTAGCTTCTCAGAGGCAGCAGATAAGGTATTCACTGGTGGCCTGGACAACGACGTCAAGTGGTGGGATCTTCGCAAGAATGAAGTGACAGAATATCTCAAAGGACATCAGGACATGATCACTGGAATGCAGCTTAGTCCTGATGGGTCTTACCTCCTGACCAATGCAATGGACAATGAGCTCAAGATCTGGGATCTGCGCCCTTACGCACCAGAGAACCGGAACATCAAGACTCTTACAGGTCACCAGCATAACTTTGAGAAGAACCTGCTGAAGTGTAGCTGGTCGCCGGATAACCGCAAGGTCACTGCTGGGAGCGCGGACCGCATGGTCTACATCTGGGACACAACATCAAGGCGCATCCTGTACAAGCTTCCTGGGCACAATGGTTCTGTCAATGAGACTGCTTTCCATCCCACCGAGCCGATCATTGGATCTTGCGGCAGTGACAAGCAGATCTATCTGGGGGAACTTTAAGGGACTCAGTTCTTTTTCAGCTAGAAGATGTTCTTGTGACACTTTGATGAGTAGGAGAAAAGGAGGCATCCTGTTCATTTGCCTGAGAGTTGGAGTACTCGTTTGGCTATCAGGATATGTCATTTGTAGATTGTCTTAGCCTATTCAGCCCAGTTGGGTCTGTGGTCTGCCGTTCACAAACTGCTCCATGCTTTGTGCCTTCTGGCTTTCTGATGTAAAACTTGATGCCATGCTTGAGGGTCACTGATTGCATGCACTGTGTCTAGAACCTTTTACTCTCTAAAAACTTGCCTGCCGTAGTGCTGTATGCCATATTGTTATCTTTTCTAGTCGTCTGAAACTAATTGGAGAAGTGATACCGCCTTCTTGGCATGATTTGAAATCTCTCAAAATTCTCCTTGTTCTGTGCCTGTGTTTTTTGCAACAATTGGCGGTGCTGGAGAGTTAACAGCTGTTTTATTAGTGAAGGTCGAGCGCTTGTGGAAGCTGCCAAGTGATTGTTGCTTCATTTTCATTGGGCCTGGACTGATCATTTATGAGCATAATTACATATACTCTCTCGGTCCCAAAATAATTGGAGGAGTCAAATAATTTTGTTTTGACTAAATATACACAAAAGTAATAATGCTTATGATATTTGATACATATCATTAGATTAATCATGATATATATTTTTATAATAAATCTATTTAGAGATATAAACATTGATACTATTTTTATAAATCTAGTTAAACTTATCGGTTGAGTTCCCCAAGTGTGAGATGACGGATGGAGTACATCTCTGCTCGGCCTGAAAAACGAGTCGTCAACTTTCAGCGTCAGGTTCACCCCGCCCCGCAAATGCCCGCCGTTCCGCTGCCCCGCTCCGCCATATGCCGCCGTCCCGCTGCCCTGCGCCCGGCCCTCGGTCTCGGCCCATCCCCATCTCGTTCGCCACGCCGCCGCGCCGCCCGTCTGACACGACGTCCCGCCGCCCGGCATTCGCGGAGGAGAATATGGAGGCGCAGGCGGAGGCGGCCATCCCGTGCCCATGCGTCTGCTACGGGACAGCCTTCCAATGTGGTGCAGTCTGTGCGTACGCTTCAATGGAGGACACAGCGGTCGAAGAGCCCGAGGTGAGCGGCGCGGCGGAGTTCGCGCCGGTGCTCGTGGTCGCACACCCACACGGCAACTCCGTCGCCGTCGCCGTCGGGTCCGGGCTCCTGTTCGATCTCAGGTTTGGAAATTGGAAGACCCCCTTCGCTTTTATGGCCGCTTCCTAATTAAACATGGACCTCTTATGCAGAAAGTGCTTGTGTTTGATTACACGATTGGTAGATTTTGGTGGAGGAGATGGTAGTGCGTTTTTGAACTGAATCTATCTTATTATCGTTAGGTTGTATTATCATATAACATAGTTTCCTGTGGGGAGGAATGGGAAATTTTCTATAAGAAAACAATGCAATTCTTGCAAATCTGGTTGTGTAAATTGTTACTAATGAAATTGTCAGGTCCTAGGTGCTTAGTTTTATATTGCTGAATCCTGAATTCACATGTTCCAGTGAGAAGAGGAGCGCCTTTCTTAGCATTTCACTTGGTGGAATGTGCAAGTAAATATTTACTCTGTTCCTCCACGGCTGCTCCAGTTTCACTCTCAAATGGTTGTGGCGGTGGTTCTCATTCAGACACTATAGGAGCTCTTTGCTTCAGTGTGAGTGGAGCTTTGTTTGCATCTGCTGGTGATGACAAACTTGTGAAGGTTTGGAAGACTGACTCCTGGCGTTGCATCCGGACTATGTAAGTGCCACACTTTTCTCTTCTTTTCTCAATTCTCATTGCGGATAACATAATTAGCACCAAAACAATGGGGCTTCAAGTTTGCTGTATCCGTAGTCTTGAAATCTGTTCCATTGCAATAATTGCATTTTTGCAATTGACATTATTTAACTGAGAAGCCCTATTCAACAATTTTTTATGTTAATTTCGTTATAGACTTTCATTATATAGTTATGTACATCAAATTTCACACTTGAGAATGTAATTTGAATAAGAATTTGTTGTAGTGTTTTCAATTGCAGAACTTTGGAGAAGAGGGTCAGTGCAGTTGCTATTAGCAACAATGACCTGTATGTAACCTGTGGAGATAAATTTGGTGTTGTTTGCAATGTTTGGTTAGTCATTTTGCGGGAAGATGGTGCAGAACAGGTTTCAGTTGATAATAAACCTGTGTCAATTCTTGGTCACTATTGTAGTATCATCACTAGCATGGTATGAACACGTTTTAAAATTCTATATTGCCTGTGCTATGTATTTGTACCTCCTATATTATTTCGTAGTGAACGTGAAATGTATTGACAAACCCACAAAGTCTGCTACACTTCAGTTTTATTTGTTGCTCCTTTCATGTCCTGTATAACCATGCTTTATCATTTGATTGGGATTGCAGAAGTTTTCGCCAGATGGACGGTTCATTGCTACTAGTGGCAGGGACTACAAAATATGAGTATGTCTTCTGTTCTTTGCACTGATTGGAAGCTGCATCAATGGAGCATAAACTTGGACTTAATCTCTTATTGTGTTGGAATTAATTTTAAAGGTCACATTATTCCCAAAGAATCCTCTAAAAGAGGCCCATGAAATACAGAGCTTTTGCGTTGGCCATACAGAGATGTTCGGTGTACAATGCAATTGTTTACAATTCTATTCTATTTTTAGGTTCTTTTAATATCCATAATAATTTGGTTTATTGGCTACGTTCTGATCATAGAAGTTTTTCATAGCTTAGTCTATACTCCCTCCTCATCATGCACCTCATTGCTGCTCCTACTACTTGGCATCGTCGTCTTGGTCATCCCGGCCATGAAGCTGTCCATGCTCTCTACTAGTGCTGCCATTTCATGTACCCATCATTCTAGTGACACTTTATGTCATGCTTGTCAATTAGGTCGCCACATCTGATTGCCTTTCCTCTTCCTTCATCCCGTGTTGTTAAGTGTTTCAACTTAATTCTTTGTGATTTCTGGATCTCTATAGTTACTAGTGTGTCTGGTCACAAATATTATCTAGCTATTCTTGACGCCACTCTCATTGTCTTTGGACTTTTCCCTCGCAGCTGAAGTCCAATACCTTTTCTACTTTGGCACATTTCTTTTTCTGTGTCAACCTAATTCACCTGCACCATCAAGAGTGTTTCAGTGCGATAATGGGCGTGAATTTGACAACTCGTACACTTGGTCCTTCCTTACCCATGGTTGTTCTGCGCATGTCCTGCCCTTATACCTCTCCCCAAAACGGCAAGGCCAAGCACATTCTTCGCTCTATCAACAATATTGTGCGCTTCCTCCTTTTTTAGGCCTCCCTGTTGGCTTCCTACTGGGTTGAGGGCCTCCACACCGCCACACATCTTCTGAATCGGCTCCCCACCCACCTTGCCTTTTTTTCACTCCTCATTTCGCCTTGTTTCACTCCCATCCCTCCTACTCCCGCCTTTGTTTTTTGGGTTTTGCGTGTTATCCCAACCTATCCTCCATGGCACCTTACAAACTTTCTCCAAGATCCACCCTATGTGTTTTTCTTGGGTGCTCCTCCAATCATAAGGGCTTTCAGTGGCTTGATCACTCCTCCAACTGTGTCATCGTTTCCTGACATGTCACCTTTGAGGAGATCATCTTCCCCTTTGCTAAGTCTCGGTCCCCACTCCCCTCCCTGACTGGCAATGAGTTTTATTTTCTTCTTGAGTTTGAGCCCCAGGTGTGCCATCTTGGTCCAATAGTTGGCTCCTCTTCTGTACGAACCCCTAGCAGCCATGTTCGGCTTGCTCTGTCTAGCGTCACGCCCGTATTGGTTGTGCGGCTGCCTCGTCCTCGACTGCTTCAGTGGCGCCAAGCTAGCCGAGTCTTGTGATCTAAGTGGCGCCGGCTGCTCCGCCTCAGGCCTTGAGTGTGCCCCCTCAGAGCACCATTGCTCACCTCTCCACCATGTACCTTGTTGGTGCACTGACCTCCTATCGTTGCAGCTTTTGTTGAGTTGCCACTCCTAGTCAATCATCACTCCGACAACCTGCCAGCTACCACGCGATCGCCATCTCTCCCGTTAAGAAAGCTTATGAGAGTGATCTTTCTAATCCAAATTGGCGTGCCACAATGGAAGAGGAGTATGCTGAGTATGCTGCACTTTTTGTCCAATAACACGTGGGATCTCGTTCTACATCCGTCAAATGTAAATGTGGTCACTGGCAAGTGGATTTTTCATTAGATGTTGATGGTTTCTTTGATCACTACAAGTCTAGTTGGGTTCTCCGTGGCTTCACATGGTACCCTGGTGTGGATTATGATGAGACTTTCAATCATGTGGTAAGGCCTGCTATAGTACACTAGTTCTTTCTTTGGCTCTATCACAACATTGACCTATTCATCAACTGGATGTGAAGAACGCTTTCATTCATGGTACCCTCTCCGAGACTGTTTATTGCTATCTGTCTATCACAGTATTGACCTATTCATCAAACTGGATGTGAAGAATGCCTTCGTTCATGGCAGTCTCTCCGAGACTTTTTATTGCTATTCGCCCACTGGCTTTGCTGGCACTACTCTTCTTGACCATGTTTGTCGTCTCAACAAGTCTCCGTAATCCGTATGGCCTCAAACAGGCTTCTTGCACATGGTACATTCGCTTTGCAACATACTTGTTGTCTCTTGGCTTTGTTGAAGCATAGTCTGACACTTCATTGTTCATCTATTGCCGAGAATATGAGTGTTTATTTACTGCTTTATGTGGATGACATTGTTCTTACTGATTCCAGTGACTCTTCTCCGTCGCACTACCACCGCCTTGCAACAAGAATTCTCCATGAAAGATCTTGGACATCTGCATCACTTTCTGGGAATTTCAGTTTAGTGGTACTCGGGTGGTCTATTCATGTCACAGCAACAGTACACCATTGGCATTCTTGAAACATGTTGGAATTACCAATTGTCAGCCGTGCAACATTCCTATTGATACTAATGCCAAGGTTTCTGTTGCCGATCCTACACACTAGGGCCCTCCAATATCTTACCTTCACTAGACATCATTCAACAAGTGTGTCTTCACATGCATGACCCTTGAGAACCTCATATGTCTACTATCAAGAGGATTTGTCGTTACCTTTAGGGTACACTCAACTACGGTCTCCACCTTTGGTCGTCCACTCCTTTTGCGCTCGTGGTCTATAGACACTCGCCGCTCCACTTCCGGCTGTGCTTAGTTTTTTGGCAGTAATCTGGTTTCACAGTCATCCAAACGCCAACACAGACAGTCTCGTTCAACTGCAGAGGCCAGAGGCTGACTACAGGGCTGTGGCAAATGGAGTTGCTGAAACTTCTTGTCTTGGCCAACTTCTGCAAGAACTTCATGCTCAGAGTATCTTTGTCACACTGACAATGTCAGTGCAGTCTACTTGTTCACAAATCCATTCAACATGAACACACAAAGCATGTTGAGATTGATCTCTACTTTGTTCGTTTATGGGTTGCCATCGGTGATGTTTGAGTGCTCCACGTTTCGACGACGTCCTAGTATGCTGACATCAACACCAAAGGCCTTCCCACATCTGTCCTCTCCAAAAATTTCGCTCCAGTCCTCATATCAGCGAAATCGAAGATTCGACTGCGGGGGGTGTTAGCATGTGTTAATTCCTGGTGCTTACCAGCTGTTGCTTACGATTCTCATCACCCTCTTAATTACTAGACTAGCCTCTCCTATATATCTCTGTAATCTCCATGCTTTTATATTATCAATGAAATACTTGAGCCTGTTTAAGCTCTAATACTTTTTCTCAACAAGCTTCTCCTAACATTATTTCATTTGTTAAGGTTCGCCTTTGGGACCACGTAAATGGATGTCTCCTTGATACATTTCAAGTCAGAGATAAGGTACCATCTTGAATATCTCTTTGCATATTTCGTTAGGTTTCAATAATGTACAATTCTTCTGTTTTCTTAGGTTTCAACTTTTTTTCAAATTATTTTGGTATATATTACAGATCTTACCTAAGCACACATGATTTGGGCCACATCCGAAAATTGGCCGATCTGGCTCCTCTCGTCCATCTTGATAATGAAAGTTCAGTCTACCTACAATTTTTTCATCCTGCCGGTGCCAGTGAGGACAAAGCTAAGGAAGAATTTCTTCCCACTTTGGCAAGTCAACGCCTCTATCTCCAACAAAGCTCCATCCAAATTGAACATCCTTATACTCCACTGAGCTCTATTCCCATATGTTTGAGAGGAAATACCGGCTTTAGCATGATAGTTGGAATACTCTCATGTAGTAAGATGGAATCCTAGGCTCTTCCCTAAAGTTTGTTTCGGTCACTTGAGGTGGAATATGAAACAAAACATCACTTGAATATAGAGCTCTCTTTCTAATAAGATCGGTAGATAAATTATACATTCTGAAAACCAAAATGGTAGTGGTCTTGCTTTAAATATATATGATGCATCAAGCCAATGCATTGTTGCTTGCCAGATCCTCTTAGAAAATGTAGGCTGACCTTCCCTCTTCAACTTTCATTTCTCCAAGACACTTTTTCTTTATTTGTGCCAAGTAATCAACTGCAATCCATGCAAAACTAAGTCTTGCGGGTGTTTTCTCATCATCAGGCTCCCTTAATTGGATAAATTCAGGGTGATACGTTACTTGGTACCACGTGGATGCCTTCATCTCATATGCTAGGTTTTTGTTGTCACCATAGGAGACATCAATGTTTTCAAAGATACTTCGGAACTCTTGGTGGAGTTTGGAATATGCGTAGTTGAGCCTCTCTTTTAAGTTTTAATTGATATTGATACTTCTTGTTATATCCGACAAGTGACCATATCTCCCCTGTCACAAGCTCAGCCTCACTATGCACACCATATTGATTGAGCAGGGTATTTAGCTGTGCTTCGTACAAGCACTTGCATTTCCAAGCATCCTCAAGAAAATTTAAGGCACCAGGAACTTCGAGATCGGTGTCATATTGATTCTCATTTGAAACGCATGTGCCTTGAAAATCACCACCTTTTTCCCCTAGAATTGATCGATAGAGCCTTCCAAGGATGTTTTTTGATTTGTAGGAGATAGCATCCTCCTTTCCCATGAAGTCAGGATATTCTTTTGGTGAAAGGGATGGTGGCATTCTCACAATTTCCCCAGTTTTTGCGGAGTCCACAGCAATAGCTGCTAGTTCAGCCAACTCACTGCACTTCTGATCCATTGCTCCATCATCACTCCGATCAGCATGAGCAACATGAACATTGCATATTCGACCAAGGTTGTCATTTACCATGCTCTCCAAGTAGAAATCAATGGTATCCTATTACAAGAGCACGATATTCATTAATTCATTAACGAGATGTATTATGGCAATAAGTATTAGTACAAACCAAAGGAAGAAGCAATATGTAGAAACCAGGTGATGAGGTGACCGGAGATGCAAGTCACAGTTTTTCTATGTCTGTCATATATGTGTGGCTGATCCGTTAGGTAATATGTACATAAGCTAAATGTGTATTTATGTTTTATTTTAATAAACAAGATTAAAAAAGGAACTTAGCAGCAGCTGACAGGAGTTGCATTGATCAAACAAAAGCAAATGGGATGTTGATTTATTGTAGCTAAACTTCATTGCAGCGAAGTTGCATTGATAAAAAAAAAAGTAAAAAAGATGCTGGACTTCATTGCAGCTGTTATAATTATACCACTATACCACGTAGTACCAGACTACCAGCATAGCCCAAGCATTGGCATTCGTTAGTTGTACTTTGTCTCCAAGCATCAATTCATTTTCAATTCAAAGGCCTGCTTGGGACATTATGCTTGCTGACTGTTAGCTACTTAGCTTTTAGAATTTTCTCTAACCTAACTATACAAAGTGAACATACCACTTATATTTATTTCTAAAAAATACTAAGGAACCTTTTTGGTGTTGTACAAATGTTGTTTTCACTAAAAATTTTAAATTTAAACATTCTACACAAAATATTTAAATTCAAAAATATTATCGCCATGGTTATATTGTTTGCCTATCACCGTCTAAAATAATAAATTTATAGACTGTCCCTCAGGTTTTTGTTTTGAACCATCTAAGACAATGTTGTCAAACCCTATAGTTTTTACATCTCACTCCCTTCTATCCTAGATATAAATCCATCTAGATTTCGACACTAGAATTGAGGTTAGATGTACAATGATCATATTGCCCATTAATCATTGTTATAGTTCTTAAGATGGGGTGGTAAGTATGTTGCATTTATTAGTGTGCACTTAAGTATGTGAAGACAAGGAAGAATGAGGCAAAAACGACCATTTTAGATACACTACGTGTACCTAAGATGGGTCTAACTAGATGATTCCTTATATATGCAGGACGTGTCAACTTAATAATAAACTGAACAAAGGGATAGTTGTACTTACTTGCTGATGTACTTCCCGTGGTAGTTGTTTTGATTTAGCTGGGGAGTAGTCCATAGGGGTGCAACTCTTTCTCCCAGGAGGTACAAGATTTTCATCCCACGTCACAAAGTAGATGTCGCCATCAAGATCGCTACCTGAAGCTTCGTTTGCGTGTGGCCTCTCCCCTTTCTTGGGGAAGACCAAGCAATCAACAAGATGGTGCAGTTCAGGGACATCCACCGCTTCAAGGATACGGACATCCCCTGGATGAAGGCATGGGTTCTTCGCCATTACAACTGTACCAACAATAATCTCTGCATTATTTTTGTATTCCGACGGAAATATCGAACCACGATTCACGTAACAGTTGTTGAGTGATGGTGCTGAGACCCGGATAAAACATTGTCCTTGCTCAAGGATCCCAAGTTCATCAAGACAGCCCATCAACCACCTTCCCTTTGGCACAAAAATCCATGTGTTTATCCAAAAGACCCTGCATCTGTGAGGCGCAGATGGCCAATAGCACTGCCCTCAGGTGTGGCTCAGTTGCAGGAGCAAAGCCAGCACTCAGCATCAGTCCCGCGGTACTTCCATGCTCATGACATGAGTTTGTCACAACCTTGTACGCCACATTGTTGTTTGATAAAATCCTTTTGAGATTACCTAGCATCGCTTCCTGCATTTGCCAAAAAACAGCATCCGGGACACCCAAGCTGGTCAGCAATGTTATAATCTGGCGGTTCAAGAAAGCTGGCTGAAACTTTGTCCAGGACACCACTTTCTAACACAGTGTGCAGACTCAAACTTCCTCATGCTTGGCCTAAGAGACATCCGCATCCCATCATTTTGTCCCGTCGAGACAGCTACAACACCCTTGAACCCTGCATATCTAATCTGGTAAGCAGATGAGGCATAGTTATCCGTCAATGGTAACATCTCGGCAACTTCTAATGCAAGGTCCTGCATGATCATCCCAATTCCATCAGAGAAATTGTATCCATTATGAATGACATCTTCAAGATACTCATTGACCTCACAAGGCTGCATTGTCACCGTTGCATATGAAGAGGTGAAGTACAGCCCCATTCGAGCAGCGTGCTTTGCAGGATTCCGAATAGGGAATTGTCCCATCCACTCCCTTATGCTTGCGACAGTTGTTGATCCATCCTCTGCAAAGAACCAAGCCGACTTTTGCTTCACCTGGCTCGTTGAGAATGCAAGGAACGAGTATTTCCTGCCACACATAGTGAACCCCTCCGTCAAGATTGTTTGGACACGCCTGTAAACTGTTGTCATCTGTTGGGACGGGCACGACATCGAGTCCTTAACAAGAGGCACCACATGGAGGCTCAATGCATTAGATCAGCGGCAGCATACCCTCATCAACAAAAGTAACCCTCAAGAAGCGATCTGACAGTTGATGATAATGCCGGGTAACGCGGTTAGAGCGCTCCAGTTGAGGTGGCATATGGTATGCCCTGGTGGGAGTGATGATCAGCCTTCGCACCTCAAAAACATTGTAATCACCAGCCTTTCTGCTGCTGCTGTGAAAGAGAAGATGATTGAGATTCTTGGCAGCCCTATCTTGTGCGTTCTTCAACCTCGAGCATGGATCATTACAAACTTGAAGCTTTGCGCCAAACAATTCCGTCAACGCAGCCACATTCACATCTTCATGTGCCCTCCTCAGCAAACTGAAGAACTCGGACGTCAGCTGGTGCGGATTGACTATCCCGTTGTGGATCAGCACATTAACCAAGTACAGTTCCGGAAACCGAAGGCCTTCGTCGTGCCGCAGGCAGAAGAACACGTCGTGCATTGGCCGCCCGAAGTCCGGCTCCTCAAGCACGGTGAACCCCCGGCACCGGCTGTCGCAGACATCGACAGGCACCACCTGCTTCTTCATGTAGTCCAGCGCAGCCCTCATCGTTGGCCAGAACCTCGCCGCGAAGGAGACCCTGTACGCCGAGCACCTGCCGATCGCGCCGCTCGGGGTGACGTCGGTGGTTCGTATCCACGGATCGTCGTCAACGTCGATGAGGTGGAAGGGCACGCGGTCATGGACGTCGTCGCCCGCCGTGCGGTAGTACACTAGGGGCGCGGCCGAGAGCCGCAGGAGCAGCGAGTCATCGGTCTCGAACGCCAGGACCTCGGCGAAGTCGGCGACGGAGAACTCGAGCTTGACGTCGCAGCACAGCAGCACCGCGGGGACGCGGCGGTGGAAGTCAGGGAACGTGAAGGCGGTGTCGCCGGCGAACAGCAACCGGCGGACGGGTCGACGACGAAGTCGAGTGCTGAGGCGGAGTCGTCGGTCCCGCGCCAGGCGACGAGGAAGGTGCCGGGCGCCACGACGTCGCCGACCTCGACGCGCGAGTCCGGGAACAGCATCGGCCGCCTGGTGTCGTCAGTGCCGCCGTCCCGTGGCGGGCGGGTCGCCCGGCCATGTAGTAGGTAGGTGTTCTGCGCGGGGACGCGCGCCCTGAAGAAGTCGCCGGCGCGGTCCGCGGCGATGGGCTACTCGAAGTGGACGAAGGCGTGAGGGGCCACGCGACCGTGCCGCGACGACGGCTCGTCCTGGTGGTGGAACACCGCGTCGTCGTCGGCGGCGGCGGCGGCGGGGACGGGTAGCTGGAAGTCCGGGTAGGACTCGGGCGCCGTGACGGAAGTCTTGACCCGGCACCGCCAGACCGTGCCCGCCACATGCTCCAAGTCGTCGGCGAGGTCACGCGCCGAGAGGCCGGCGTCGAAGCCGGTCAGGATCACCCGCGTCGCCGGCGGCCTGCTCGGCCATCTCCGCTTTCGTCTCCTCTCGACTACTCCTGTTCTGCAGCGAGATTATTGGCAGCTTGACCGAGTTATATATATACACGGAGTAATAGGTGCATGTATCCTCAAGGGATATACACAAAATTATTGCTTTGACTAAATTATAGGTGCATGTAATGTATCAAGGGATACGTTTCCCTGAAACTGAAACCGTTGCCGATTCTATTTCGTTGGTATGGTATCACCGAAACGGATCGAATTAGTTGCCGATCCTATTCCGTTGCACTCCAGTAGAATAGTACCCCTGAAACGGATCGAATTAGTTGCCATGTGGCTCGCCGACGCCGGGTGCCGCCGGTGCAGCATGCAAGAGCAACGCTACGCCACGGCGTTCCCAAACCTGACCCCCGCCGCCAGCCAGCGACGCCGCTCGCCACGGCATCACGGCGGGCGGGCAGCTCGATCGCGCGCAACGGGAGCAACAACGTGCTGTGGACGCTGCCGCCCGTGCGCTCCGCGCCAATGACGAGAAGGAAAGACATGATGCTGTAGCCTGTAGGGTGACTGACGGCAACGACGACGCCATGGAGCCGAACCCGGCGTTCCGGCGGACCATGCACCAGGTGGCGCAAGTGAAACTAATTTTTTTTTGGCCGTACTTCTCATCACTATATAGTGTTGGTACAAAATGAGTTACTACTATAATAATTATTACATCATGAGTAGTAATGGTAGTGGTGACACTACACATTACTACTATGCTCTATCACTATCTCGTGGTTCCACCACCTTAGCACTAGGCTATCATTTAACATGCATATTACCACCGTCACTGACCCTGTGGTTGTTACATGGAGAGTAACAGCGCAGATGCTCGAAGGCGCGGTGGAGACCGAGGAGTTGCCGCTTGCCGGCCCCTCTGGTTGTTACCTGGAGTCGTATCGGCAAAAAAGAGGGTGAGCGCGTGAGAGAGAGCATGAGAGCCCCTCCGGTCTGCCGGTCGTAAAGCACCTGTTCGACTGCTTTGCGCAACAGTCGATGCTGGGCAGCAGGGCTCAGGCAACGGCGATGAGCGCCTTTTGCCATCGTCGTCTAGCGAAGGGCCGGGCCGCCAAAGGTAGCAAGCAGCCAAGAGTTGGAGTTTGCTGTCGTTGCGAACAGGAGCTCTCCGCCGCCTTGGTGGTCGGACCCGATGCCGTCTGAATTGGAAAGCGCAGCCAATGCTGGAAGGGTATCTGCCTTGGAGCCGCTGCGTGGAGAGGACAGTCCCTCTGATCCCTGCATTCTGCCATCTCCGCCGCAGGATAGGTCACAGATGGCTGGGCGTACAGCAGCAGACTGGATCGCCATCGATCATGGCGCATTGACGCCAATCAGTGGAGTCCTTTGCCACAACGGGCAGTGGCGCCCGCCGCCTTTTCCGGCGATGCAGTTGAGGATGAACCCACCTCTGTGCCGCAGGGTCGCTCGCCTGATCGTGGGCCATGCACGCCACCAACTGGGCCGCTGTTCGACCAAGTTGTTACAAGCGCGTTGGGATTTGTGCCTGGCCAACAAACTGGAACGGTGAAGTTGGACCCTTTCGCCGCACATTGCACGGTCACGTATGGGAGCCGTAAGTCTCGGCCACGAGCCTACGATAGCGCAGCAGCACTCGCCCTTGACCCGGCGCCCACGTTTTCACGCTCGGCGCTCGTCCACCGCTCAACCTGAGGCACCACGCCGCCGCTGTCGCCGGACGCAGCTCCGCACCCAGGAAGGTTGACGTCGCGCGCTGCCGGAGATCAACCATCATGGCTGCATCGAAGGGTGAGAATCCCAATATGTGGGTTCTTTTATTTTGCTAGGTGTCTTGCTGGATGTCCGATATGGAGATGAGCAGAGAGAGTGAGGGCCAGGGGGAGACTGAAGGTCTCGCCATGGCGTAGTTCTTGCAGCCGTAGAGAAAGAGCTGGCTGTGATAGGTGCATGTGTGTACTGCAGGGTTTTCTTTTGTGACTCTGTACTGCAGATTAGTTGGTGTACTAGTGGAGTTCGATAGAGGTGAAGAAGGCCTCGTCATGGTTCCTGTAGAGGTGTTAGTGTGAGTTCAGAGGTGACTGTTTATGATACAAAGATCTTTCGAAAAAAAAAACTGTTGATGATACAATACAAGTCAAATTAGGAAGAAGTAGCAGTTTAGGAAATAGCAAATCAAGGCAAGGCAATATGCAGATTGCAGGTGATTGAAGAAGCCCTGTTACAGATGGAGTAGTAGATGTAGTTTTTTTCTGCTACAGATTAGAGAGCAATTTTATGAGAAGTGAGGAGGTTGTAGAAGCGAGAGAGGTGGCAGGATAGCAGTATTTGATTTGTTAGTAAAATCAGATTCAGTAATGAAGAAGGGGAGGTCTGAGTTTTGATGGCAAGTGCTGTGCTGCAGTTAGAAAGAGAAGAAATATAGGAATTAGTATAGGAGAAGGCCTCGAGAATGCAGAAAGTAATCAAAGCAGTGATGGAAAGTATGGGCCTGATTTGTTGACAGTCTTGTGTGTTGGGAGGAGAAAGTGGAGTCTGAAATTTATGAAAGATAGAGGTGTTGTGCTGCAATTAGAAAGAAGAGGTGATAGACTGCAGTAGATGCAGCATGGCAATGGAGTGATAGGTCGGGAGATGTGATAGAATACAACAACAGATATATCAGTATTAGCATCAGTAGTACCTTGTTGGCAAGATGTGAGGTGCTGTTGAAGTAAAGAGGGCCTCAATTTCCATGACAAGTGAGAGTTATGCAGTAGAAAGTACTAGAATGGTAGAAGTGGTGATGATGAGTTATGCAAAGCAGTATTCCCTGAGATGCGAACAATAAGCTCATCTGCACTGAGTTTCAGAGAAAGGGAGGCAATCTTCACTGAGTTTCAGAGAAAGGGAGGCAAACTGCACTGAGTTTCAGAGAAAAGGAGGCAACTGTTGTAGAAGAGTTGCAGTGCGTACACCTGACAGTGTTCAGCAATGCTAACTGTCAATGCATACGGAGTAGTGTTGAGCAGAGGCTTGCTTTGTGTTGTTAGGCAACACCTGGTGATATGACAAAGCCAAGAGAACTATGGCTACAACTCTACCCAATTGTTGTTCTTTTAAGAGCAAGGTTAGTCAGGGAAGGTATAGGGGACTGCAGCATGCTAGTTAGGCCTGTGAATCCTGACAAGTACTGAAGAACAACAGCATGTGGACATTGATGGTGTTCAGCCATGTAAACTTTCAGTAGATGTGTGCTTTAAAGTTCAGTACAACCCGTCAGTATGTGTTTTGTATAATAAGCAGGAAAGATGGGACATTTGTAGCATAGTAATTAGCATGTGCTTTGAAGTGTCAAGTTAGAACGCACTATATGATTTCTCAGAATATTTGAAGTGTTAGAAAGATGGCTTACTGTTTGTAGCCGATTGTGAGTTTGGCCCTCTGATTTCTGAGATGAGCTCCCATGTTCAGAATATTTGCGCTATGCCGAGTAAGCTATAATTAATAGGTGTTTAGGCTCCAATTATTTTATGGAGACCATCTCTTAAACTAAAATTTGTAAGAGGGAATTGCTATGTCATCAGAGATGATCATCATCAGTAGTAGGTGCTGTAAAGAGAGAGTCCATCATGGGTATGCTGCAGGACTAGGTCTCTTGTGGTTCTATAATGAGAACTAAGTAGCGTGCTTTAGCAAAGTTTTTGGAGTCTGCTCCAGGCATAAAATCAGTAAGCTAGAGGAGCAGTACAGCAAGGTTATTCTAACGAATTTATGCAGAGAAACGTGACTAGTTTCACGGTTTATGACGGGCAGCTCCATGTTGATGGGTTAATGACTCATGGAGTAAATAAATGTCCAGGGTGCCGACCTCATATTAAAATGCGAGCACTGTTAAGATGTGTTTCACTAGTCCTGTTACTCGTCCTTTTAAGCAAAAGAGCTATTTTGTTAGCAGCATAAGGACTGAGTTTGTGTTCGTCTCTATGTATGCTTGCAATCATGCGTTCAGAATTGTTAGACATGTCAGTGCGTTTGTGGTGTAGTTGTGACCAAACTCCTTGACCGACGAGGCATGGAGAATACTGAGATGTTCAATCCTGACCGACGAGGCAAGACATTTACTTATTCGTGACCGACTAGGCCAAGCATTTTCACATACTTCACTCCAAACTCCGTGATCGATGAGGCCGGATAGCATATGCCACTGACCGACGAGACTGTGGCAATTTTATTGTAATTTAATATTCCGTTATTATTCATGCATACTTGGATACCACAATACTCGAGACATGGAACACGACCATCGTCGCGGCTTAATCAGAGGTATTCCATAGAAGTTAGTCTATTGACGTAATTAATCGGATCGTCTTACGAGACCCGAGAACCAGTAGATATATTGATCAGGTTCAATATGATGTAAAATACCAAGAGGGCTTGTTATGTTCTAATTGAACATGAATCAAAAGGACGGATAGCTACAAATATAATGTTGCGAGTAGTTTTTTTTTATAATAGTATAACACAAGGTTACATTTAAATTATAGTGATACTATTTTTCCCGTGCAACACAAGGTCATGATTCTAGTATGATGTAAAATACCAAGAGGGCTTGTACTCCTTAATTCTGTAAAGGATTAATATAATGAAGAATTCCTTACATGTTTGTGTGTTTGTTGTTTATTTTTGTATAATTGCGCGCTTTAGTAGATCCAAAGCCGTAAGGGACGGCTCCTTGAACGGTAGTGATAGCATCCGGACGTGACTGACTAGGCCAAGACGTGACCGACTAGGCCAAGCATTTTCACATACTTCGCTCCAAACTCCGTGATCGATGAGGCCGGATAGCATATGCCACTGACCGACGAGACTGTGGCAATTTTATTGTAATTTAATATTCCGTTAGTATTCATGCATACTCGGATACCACAATACTCGAGACATGGAACACGACCATCGTCGCGGCCGCATGATTGTAAGCATACATAGAGACGAACACAAACTCAGTCCTTATGCTGCTAACAAAATAGCTCTTTTGCTTAAAAGGACGAGTAACAGGACTAGTGAAACACATCTTAACAGTGCTCGCATTTTAATATGAGGTCGGCACCCTGGACATTTATTTACTCCATGAGTCATTAACCCATCAACATGGAGCTGCCCGTCATAAACCGTGAAACTAGTCACGTTTCTCTGCATAAATTCGTTAGAATAACCTTGCTGTACTGCTCCTCTAGCTTACTGATTTTATGCCTGGAGCAGACTCCAAAAACTTTGCTAAAGCACGCTACTTAGTTCTCATTATAGAACCACAAGAGACCTAGTCCTGCAGCATACCCATGATGGACTCTCTCTTTACAGCACCTACTACTGATGATGGCGCGGTACTCTGTTTCCCGCACGCTTGCACTCCACGCCCGCGCTCGCGCCAGCACGCCTCTTCTCACGCCTGCGCTTCGTGCGCCCACGCGAGGCCCGTGCCACCAGACTGCATGAGACCGCTCGTGGCCCCTCCCACTTTCCACGCGCATCCCATGTGCAACACCTGATTACTTTTGCAATATCCAGATGCAATACTTGCAACATACGTCCGAATATAGATAAAACACTTGAAAAAAATACCTGAAAAATGTTTGAAAACCACTACAAACATACGTAACATCTAGATAAAATACTTGCAACATATATATAAAACATATGCGACATCCAGATAAACGCAGTTGCAACATTCGTCTGAAAACACAGATGAAACACTGGGAACAGACACTTGCAACATACGTGTACAATGATTGCAACATATGCAACAACCCAATTTACTTTTACAACATCCACCTGAAACACTTGCAACATACATCTAAAATATTTAAAACATACGCTTGCAACCTGCATTTTCACCCTTCTTCCGCAAGATGTAGAGCAGAGCGGGGAATAGTCTGTTCCAGCCAGCCGGCGGCCGAGGATGGTGGCGTAGCCTGGCAGCGGCCAGCTGCGCCTGCACCTGGCCTGCCCCGGCCAGCGACGGCCCCCTCTCCTTGTCGCCTGGCCACACACAGCCTACGGGCGCCTGCGAGCTAATTCTGGGTTGGCCCGGCCAGCTAGCGGCACCGGCGAGCAGCCAGACTCCGGCGGCAGCGAAGAGGCTCGTTGGCTTAGTGGAGGCGGCCGCACCGCAGTGAACAGGCAGCGCATGTGCAGCGAGGCAGAGTGGAGAAATATCGTCCAGTTTGTTTAGAGGCCGTCAAAGGGTCCGGTTGATTTGGCAGCATTACCGCTTTAGGAAGCGTTTCTCTACGCGAAACAATCACCTTCCCTTTTCTTCAACCAAAAAAACAAGGCTTTTTTTTTAAAAAAAACGAAGAACCAAGTTCTTAATTTTAGTTGAGTCCCCGGCTCCCCAATTGATTGACCCACCTCACAAGTCACATCTGCCGAAGTAGTCAATGCCTCAATGGGCCACAACAGTTTGAACCGCAGCAACGCAGCCCATTACAAATCCCGCCGTCGTTTCTCTCGCGCACGGCAGAAGAACCTGAACAATTTGCTCTCCTGAACAAACAAGCATAATCGAACCAGACAAAGTGCACAAAGCCGCAAAAACACTAGCAAATTCCCTCGCTGATCAGCCTTGCCTACGTCAGCCTGAAGCACGCCAAGGCGCTCCAAAATTCTTCGGCCTCATTCATCTGCCATGTCCCAAGCATCAATCTCACAGCATTTCGACATCCCTTCAAGCTTCAATGTACCACCACCGTCACTGACCCTGTCATGCCGCCTCCGGCAATCGTAGTAGAAGGCCGCGCAGACGCAGCACGCGGCGATCTTGGCCGCAAGAACCGCCGGCCCGAGCACCAGCGCCGGCGCGCCGTCACCGCAGAGCCACGCCGGCACCTGTTCGACAAGCATCCTAATTCTTTCGACAAGCATTGTCCCTGGCTCCCAGCAGTTTAAACTTTAAAGGTACCTTTTTCGATGAAATTTCAGCAACGACGGCAATGATTGTACCTCGCTGCAGCCACAAGCGTTAAAATTCAACATAAGCAGCCAAAGAACACGCCTATTTTTTTTCGACATATCTCGATAATAGCCTTCGGACGCTTTCATCATGCGTTCGCAGGCAAAACAGCATGAACTAGTGACATGACCCGAACACATTAATACATATACGGTAGCTTGCTAGACACAGGAGCGAACCGAACTGCAGCCACGCTCAAAGATAATGCAAATGGAACTAACAAATTAATTGACAATGCAGCATATGAATCATTAGGGTAAATGCTCAAACTTGTGAAAAGTGGAATCAAAACTATTCTTGTAGGGGTGCTACGCAAAATTCACCAAACAGTACCAACTCCATGTGCACTAACAGATAAGCCTGTCGCCCATCATTACAACATCGTAAACTCTAGCAGAACAAAAACTTGAAATCAACGTTCGCACATTTCTCCGCAAATGACGCGAAATCTACAGGATTATGATGATTGACGAGATCTATGATAAATTGTATGAATCTACCAAAAAAACCTAATCATTAGAGGTAAACTGTTTAAGCTAAACTTCCTCCATCCAAAGTGAAATGCAGATCAGAATCAGCAATTCTGTACAAATTCAACAATCCCTAAAGTTTGTTCGGTCACTTGAGGTGGAATATGAAACAAAACATCACTACGTGATATAAAGCTCTCTTTCTAATAAGGTCAGTAGATAAATTATACATTCTGAAAAGCAAAATGGTAGTTGTCTTGCTTTAAATATATAGGATGCATCAAGCCAATGCATTGTTGCTTGCCAGATCCTCTTAGAAAATGTAGGCTGACCTTCCCTCTTCAACTTTCATTTCTCCAAGACACTTTTTCTTTATTTGTGCCAAGTAATCAACTGCAATCCATGCAAAACTAAGTCTTGCGGGTGTTTTCTCATCATCAGGCTCCCTTAATCGGATAAATTCAGGGTGATACGTTACTTGGTACCACGCGGATGCCTTCATCTCATATGTTAGGTTTTTGTTGTCACCATAGGAGACATCAATGCTTTCAAAGATACTTCGGAACTCTTGGTGGAGTTTGGAATATGCGTAGTTGAGCCTCTCTTTTAATTGATATTGATACTTCTTGTTATATCCGACAAGTGACCATATCTCCCCTGTCACAAGCTCAGCCTCACTACGCACACCATATTGACTGAGCAGGGTATTTAGCTGTGCTTCGTACAGGCACTTACATTGCCAAGCATCCTCAAGTAAACTTAAGGCACCAGGAACTTCTAGATCAATGTCATAGGGAGTCTCATTTGAAATGCATGTACCTTGTGACACAAAATCATCGCCATTTTCCCCTAGAATTGATGGATAAAGCCTTCCAAGGATCTTTTTCGATTTGTAGGAGATGGCATCCTCCTTTCCCATGAAGTCAGGATATTCTTTTGGTGAAAGGGATGGTGGCATTCTCACAATTTCCCCAGTCTTCGCGGAGTCCACAGCAATAGCTGCGAGTTCGGCCAACTGAATGCACTTCGGATCCATTGCTCCATCATCGCTCCGATCAGCATGAGCAACATGAGCATTGCATATTCGACCAAGGTTGTCGTTTACCATGCTCTCCAAGTAGAAATCAATGGTATCCTATTACAAGAGCACGATATTCATTAACAAGATGTATTATGGCAACAAGTATTGTGTACAAACCAAAGGAAGAAGCAATATGTAGAAATCATGTGATGAGGCGACAGGAGATGCAAGTCATAATTTTTCTATGTTAGTCATATATATATGTGGCTGATCAGTTAGGTACCATATATGTATTTAAGCTAAAGGTGTATTTATGTTTCATTTTAATAAACAAGATTAAAAAAGGAACTTAGCAGCAGCTGACATGAGTTGCATTGATCAAACAAATGCAAAATGGATGCTGATTTATTGTAGCTGAACTTCATTGCAGTAGAGTTGCATTCATAAAAAAAAAGTAAAAGGGATGCTGATTTATTGTAGTTGACCTTCTTCTTTGCAGCTGTTATAACTATACCACTATACCACAGGACCAGACTACCAGCATACCAAGCATAATGTGTATTAGCATTCGTTAGTTCTAATTTGTCTCCAAGCATCAATTCATTTTTTCAATCAAAAGACCTACTCAGGACATTATGCTTGCTGACTGTTAGCTTTTAGAATTTTCTCTAACCTATACAAAGTGAATATAGAATTTAAATTTATTCATAAAAGAAATCTTTTTTGTGTTGTACAAATATTTTTGTCACAAAAATATTATCACCATGGTTATATATTGTTTGTCTATCATCGTAGGACGTCTCAACTGAATAAACTGAAGAAAGGGATAGATGTACTTACAGATTGATGTACTTCACGTGGTAGTTGTTTCGTTTTAGCCGGGAAGTAGTCCATAGGGGCGCCGCTCTTTCTCCCGGGAGGTACAAGATTTTCATCCCACGTCACAAAGTAGATGTCGCCATCAAGATCGCTACCAGAAGCTTCATTGGCGTGTGGCCTCTCCCCTTTCTTGGGGAAGACCAAGCAATCAACAAGGTGATGCAGTTCAGGGACATCCACCGCTTCAAGGATACGAACATCCCCTGGATGAAGGCATGGGTTCTTCGCCATTACAACTGTACCAACAATAATCTCTGCATTGTTTTTGTATTCCGACGGAAATATCAAACCACGATTCACGTAACAGTTGTTGAGTGATGGTGCTGAGACCCGGATAAAACATTGTCCTTGCTCAAGGATCCCAAGTTCATCAAGACAGCCCATCAACCACCTTCCCTTTGGCACAAAAATCCATGTTTTATCCAAAAGACCCTGCATCTGTGAGGCGCAGATGGCCAATAGCATTGCCCTCAGGTGTGGCTCAGTTGCAGGAGCAAAGCCAGCACTCAGCATCAGTCCCGCGGTACTTCCATGCTCATGACATGAGTTTGTCACAACCTTGTACGCCACATTGTTGTTTGATAAAATCCTTTTGAGATTGCCTAGCATCGCTTCCTGCATTTGCCAAAAAACAGCATCCGGGACACCCAAGCTGGTCAGCAATGTCATAATCTGGTGGTTCAAGAAAGCTGGCTGAAACTTTGTCCAGGATACCACTTCTAACACAGAGTGTGCAGACTCAAACTTCCTCATGCTTGGCCTAAGAGACATCCGCATCCCATCATTTTGTCCCGTCGAGACAGCTACAACACCCTTGAACCCTGCATATCTAATCTGGTAAGCAGATGGGGCATAGTTATCCGTCAATGGTAACATCTCGGCAACTTCTAATGCAAGGTCCTGCATGATCATCCCAATTCCATCAGAGGAATTGTATCCATTATGAATGACATCTTCAAGATACTCATTGACCTCACAAGGCTGCATTGTCACCGTTGCATATCAAGAGGTGAAGCACAGCCCCATTCGAGCAGCGTGCTTTGCAGGATTCCGAATAGGGAATTGGCCCATCCACTCCTTTATGCTTGCGACAGTTGTTGTTCCATCCTCTGCAAAGAACCAAGCTGACTTTTGCTTTAGCTGGCCCGTTGAGAATGCAAGGAACGAGTATTTCCTGCCACACATGGTGAACCCCTCCGTCAAGATTGTTTGGACACGCCTGTCATCTGTTGGGACGGGCTGGACATCAAGTCCTTAACAAGAGGCACCACATGGAGGCTCAATGCAGTAGCGTTCAGTGGCAGCATACCCTCATCCCACAAAAGTAACCCTCAGGAAGCGATCTGACAGTTGATGATAATGCCGGGTAACACGGTTAGAGCGCTCCACTTGAGGTGGCATACAGTATGCCCAGGTGGGAGTGATGATCAGCCTTCGCACCTCAGCATTGTAATCACCAAGCTTTCTGCTGCTCCGGCGAAAGAGAAGATTGAGATTCTTGGTCGCCCTATCCTGCGCGTTCTTCAACCTCAAGCATGGATTACTACAAACTTGAAGCTTTGTACCAAACAATTCTGGCAACGCAGCAACATTGACATCTTCACGTGCCCTCCTCAGCAAACTGAAGAACTCAGACGTCAGCTGGTGCGGATTGACTGTCCCATTGTGGATCAGTACATTAACCAAGTACAGCTTCGGAAACCGCAGGCCTTCGTCGTGCCGCAGGGAGAAGAACACGTCCAGCATTGGCCGCCCGAAGTCCAGCTCCTCAAGCACGGTGAACCCCAGGCAACGGCTGTCGCAGACGTCGACAGGCGCCCCCTGCCTCTCCATGTACTTCAGCGCGGTCCTCATCGTTGGCCAGAACGTCGCCCCGAAGGAGACCCGATACGCCGAGCACCGGCCGATCGCGCCGCTTGGGGTGACATCGGTGGTTCGTATCCACGGGTCGTCGTCAGCGTCGATCAGGTGGAAGGGCACGCGCGCGGTCGTGGATGTCATCTCCCGCCGTGCGGTAGTAGACGAGGGGCGCGGCCGAGAGTTGCAGGATCAGCGAGTCATCGGCCTCGAACACCAGGACCTCGGCGACGTCGGCGACGGAGAACTCGAGCTTGACGTCGCAGCACAGCAGCACCACGGGGCGGAGACGGAGGTCAGGGAACGTGAAGGCGGTGACGCGGGCGAACAGCAGCCGGCAGCAACGGGCGGACGGGTCGACGATGAAGTCAAGTGCCGAGGTGAAGTGGTCGGTCCCGCGCCAAGCAACAAGGAAGGTGCCGGGAGCCACGACGTCACCGACCTCGACGCGCGAGTCCGGGAAGAGCATCGGCCGCCTCGTGTCGGTGCCACCATCCCGCAGGCGGGCCGCCCGGCCATGTAGTAGGTAGGTGTCCTGCGCGGGGATTCGCGACCTGAAGAAATCGCCGGCGCGGTTCGCAGCCTTGAGCTGCTCGAAGTGGACGAAGGCGTGAGGGGCCACGCGACCGTGCCGCGACGGCTCGTACTGGTGGAACACCGCGGTGGCGGCGGCGGGAACGGCGGGTAGCTGGAAGTCCGGGTAGGACTCGGGCGTTGTGATGGAAGTCTTGACACGGCAGCGCCAGACTGTGCCTGCCACATGCTCCAAGTCGTCGGCGAGGCCACGTGCCGAGAGGCCGGCGTCGAAGCCGGTCAGGATCGCCCGCGTCGCAGGCCCCGTCGGCCACGCCGCGGCAAAGTTGCGTCCCCGCGGCGAGCGGCCTGCGGTTTGCCGGCGGCGTTCGTGAGGATGGTGTTGGTTGGGCTTGGAGGGCTTGAGAGAACGATGAAGATGAGCACGACGGCGAGTCGACTCGGGGCTCCGACTGCGGTTGTGCGTCGCCATAACCGCTTTCGTCTCCTCGACTACTACTCTTCTGCAGTGAGATTACCGCTTGACCGAGTTATATATATATAGATAAGTGCATGTGTCAAGGGAAGGGATACACAAAAATTATTGCTTTGACTAAATTATAGGATCCCTAAAACCGTTGCCGATTCTATATCGTTGGTATCCCTGAAACGGATCGAATTAGTGGTTGGTTCCTGCCTGGAGACATCTATCGTATCCGGATTAGCTGTCGATCCTATTATTCCGTTGCACTCCAGTAGAATAGTATCCCTGAACCGGCCATGTGGACCGTGGAAGGCTCGCCGCTGCCGGGTGCCGCCGGTGCAACAATGCTACGCCACAGCGTTCACAAATCTGACTCCCTTCAGCGACACCGCTCGCCACGGCATCACGGCGGCTGGGCAGCTCGCGCTCGTGGGCAACGCCGCACCAATGGGAGCAACACCGTGCTGTGGACGCCGCCCGTGTGCTCGAGCTCCTCAACTCTGGCAACCTCCAGCTCCTCGCGGACGGCGGCACCATGCTATGGTGGAGCTTTGCGCACCTGAGGGACATGCTCTTGCCGTTGTATGTCAAGTAGAATAGTATCCCTGAAACCATTGCCGATTCTGGAAAGCCAGGACCGCAAACGCTACGCCATAGCGTTCACAAACTAACTCCCGCCAGCGAAGCCGCTCGCCACGGCACGGTGCACTCTCAGTATCACGGCGGCCGGGCAGCTCGCGCTCGTGGACGGTTTAGCACCAATGGCAGCGGCAACATGCTGTGGACGCCGCCTGTGAACTCTAGCGGCAAGCGTGCACCCGTCATCCCTGTTCCTCGACTCTGGCGGCCTCTAGCTCCTCGCGGACGGCGACACCATGTTGTGGCGGAGCTTTGTGCACCCGAGAGACATGCTCCTGGTGGGACCGGGATAGTCGGTCGCCTGGAACGCCAGGGCCGACGAGAAGCTCGTGTCCAGATCGCGGACGTGGAGTGCACCCTCGGGCGGTTCAACCTAGGAGTCCATGCGGACGACGACATCGTCCTCTACGTGGACCTCCTCATTGGCAACAACAACCTAGAGAACGCCTACTAGCCCAGACACCTGTAGTACACACTCAGCAACGGCACAATGTAGAGAACCTGGTGCCGCCCATGCCCAAATCCACAGTTGGCGAGCACTAGCGTCCGTGTGTACATCCGCCCAAAAACGTCTACGGCGGGACGTCGTGGACAATCTTCGGCTCGTCCCAACGACGTCGGGGGCGGCGGCGGCGACGGCGCTAGGGCAAGTCGTGAGGCTGCAGCCGTCTTCGGCGCGTCCCCCAACGATGGATGCAGCTTCGCGACTCGCCCTAGTGTCGCCGCCGCCCCCGCCTCCACTACCGCTGGTCCCCCTCCCTTCCTCCTCCAACATCTCGCCGGAGACCGGAGGGAGAGGAATCCAGCGTTTTTAATAAGTTTTTCTAGTAGATCCAGTCTTTAGGGTTATGGTCTATCCATGCCGTTATTGGGAAGTTATCTCCTCTCCGAGACGACGAGTAGGTAAGGTGGATTCATTTTCTCCATAACGGCTCTGTTGAAAATGAGGGCGACAACTACGGCCGTCAACAACTTCCTCAGCATGACGACATGGAGACTTTTCTTTTCGAACGGTGACATCAAGGCGGAGATGATGTCACCGTCATAGAATAATTTTCTCCGGTCTCTTCTTCGTTTTGTCGTGGTTAGATCTAGCCACGATAAAGGACTAGGGAGAATAAGTTTCGGATTAGTCTTCCTCATTCTTCGGTGGCAGAAAGAAGAAGGAAGACACAAGAAAGAAGAAGTTTCTCAACTCCGCCTGCAAGAGTATTGGCCGTCATTCGTTGGGTATATGTTCTTAGGCCTTTTGCCGAGTGTTTTCCTGTGCGGTCATCTATACGAAGCGTTATACAGGTTTGGATTTGAGATTTGGAGCTATTCACAGTATGGATATAATATAGATGGAATCAATTTCTGAATATATGTAGTGTATTTCAGAGTGCTTGGTAACATGATGATGTATTCAATTATAATCTAATATAATTCTTTTTTCGTCTAAAAAACGACGACTGCAGCATGACGACGTCCGGGCTTCAGGTCATGTGCCGATGTGCGGTTCGGAGTCTTACTGCGTCGATGCCAAGGACAGACATGATGCTGTAGGGTGACGGCAACGAAGACGCCATGGAGCCGAACCCGGCGTTCCGGCGGACTATGCACCAGGTGGCGCAAGTGAAACTAAATATATTTTTGCCATACTAAGCCTCTGGCTTTCCTTCTCATTATATAGTACGGCTGCTGCTTCTTTGGCTTCTCTCACAAATTACTGTTTAAATAGCCGGCTGCGGCTTATTTTAAGTGCAGCCGAACAAGTCGAGTGTTGATACAAAATGAGTTACTACTATAATTATTACATCATGAGTAATGGTAGTGGCGACACTACACATTCCATCTTCTAGCACTAGGCTCTATCATTATTATCTCAAATCAAATAATGATATTGGTGACTCTGTACCTTCCAACCACCCAGGATTTAAATTTAGGGTATGCCTAACTAAAAGTTTATTATCCAATATATAGTATAATTCGATATAAATTTGGTAAAAGGTTCAGTAAAAACTTGGTAAACGGTTCAGACAAAAAAAAAAACAACCCAAAAAAAAAGACACACCAGACAAATGCTACGTTCACCAGCTGAATCACAAATTCACAAAACGGTTCAGGAAAAAAACAAAAAAAAGACACACCATTTCAAGCATCTGCATATGTACACGGCAACATAAATTTCACAGCAAACCTCTACTAGTCTCTACAGTACTTACTGGAGATGGCCAGATGCAGTGGGAACCCGGCGGCCGGCGGAGTCGCAATGGAGGCTGGAACCTAGAGGATGTCGGACGGACGGACGGGACACTCGCAGACTCGCAGTGGCGGTGGCGGGCGTCGCCGGCTCGCCGTGTCAGGCCAGAGCCCGCAATCCCGGCAGATCTAGCGTCCTCGGAGCCGCGCTTAGCTGGACCTGGAGACCGCCGAGGTCAGGATATGGCGTGCAACTGAGGTCTCTGGGGCTGGTGGTGCCCATTCGCGTGGCCGGGCCGAGCGGCAACCATCTCACGCTCACCGGCGAGCAAAGCAACGGGCACGGAAGTCAGTAGGGAACGCGAGGTGGCGAGACGAAGAGCGAGTTGCGAACTTGCGAGTCGTGGGTATAGACATTCAGATGATAAGTACTAGTACAGTTTTGGGCCAAATTTTAGGGTACTCTTGGGCCTATACATACTACCCACTGGACACGCCACTGCTTCCATCTTCTTATAGCACTGCGTAACTACACTTCGCGAGATCTCAGCGCTACTGCTGTCCGTGCACTGTAGCGCTGACCTCAGCACTGTTCATCAAAATTTTAAATACTTCCCAGTCGCTTTTCGGCTTTGTACATATCACTGTTCCGCCAAATTTGTTACTAGTAGTATTGTATATTTCTGTTTTTTTCGGTTGGAGCTGCCATTGTAGCGATGACAGCAGCACTGTTCATCCAAATTTTAAATACATCCCAGTCATTTTTTTTGCATTGTACATAGCACTGTTCTGCCCGGTTCGCACGTGTCAAAGCCGGCGCAGCGTAGCGTGTCCACCGTGCAAATATTAACAGCATAGATGCTGGAAGGCGTGTGGAGGCCGATGAGTTGCCGAACCCTCCTAGTTGTTATACGAGCGGTAATGCTCAGGGTCGTCCAATGACGGACGCTGCTTCTTGGGTCCGTGCGCTACTGACCTAACAAGCTCATCTCTTTCTTTTTATGTCTCTTCCATTTCTCTCAAAAATAGCTTTCTACTCACTCGGTCATCACACGCTTTTACAGTATCGTGCGGCCATCAGCCCGCCCTACTTCGCATTCGCCACAATGGTCATCTCCTCCCCTCCCCCCTCGCGTGCCCTCGTCCTGCGCTGTTCGGTCCTCGCTCCTGCCCGTCGCTCGCTCCTTGCTCCCGCAGTCCCACCCACCGCGCGCCCACCCAAGCTGTCGGGCGCGCCGCCCACCTCTGCTAGTGTTGATGGTGCCGTCGCGCGCCTCAGGTCGGTCCCCACCAAGCCAAGGGCACCTACGAGCGCAGCCCGTGCTGGTGGTGCTCGCGCGCTGCTGCTCGGTGTCGGCTCCCGCTCCGAGGCCGGAATCAACCGGCCCTGGACTCTTCCTTCCCTTATGTTGCAAAGGTAGATGTTATCAGAGGTATATTGCAAGTGTTTCATATGGATATTGCAAAAGTAGATCTAAATGTTGCATATGTTGCAAGTGTTTTCAGAGGCATGTTGCAAGTGTTTCAGAGACATGTTGCAAGCGTTTGTTCAAAATGTTTCATCCGTTTCAGACGAATGTTGCAAGTGTTTCTATCTGGATATTACACATGTTTCACACATATATTGCAATAGTATGTTCGAAATATTTTAGCTGTTTTCAGACTTATGTTGCAATAAAGTGTTTTCATGTTGCAAGTTGCAAGCATTTTATTTAGATGTTGCATATACATATGCTTCATACACATGTTGCAAGCGTATGTTCCAAACATTTCATCTGCTTCAGGTGTATGTTGCATTCAAGTGTTTTCATGTTTCAGAGGTATGTTCAGAGAGTCACGGGGGCACGGCCCGAGCGCGGGGGAAGAGGCGTGGCAAGTCGGGGGCCGGCGGATGGGGTGCATGGCGCGCCTGGGGTCCTACGGACGGAGCGTTCCCGTCCTCATCTCGGCTCCCGGGGCCAGCCCGCGCGGAGAGAGAGGAGGGGGTTAAGAGGAAGGAGCGGCGGGCGCGGGGGCGGGGTACACGTGTGAGGCGGGACAAGACGGACGGGGACAGACGCGCATGTTCTTCTGTGAACGGCGTAGCGGCATGCGCGGGCGGGTGGGCTGGCGACCGAAGCCGGGGTCGCGCAATGGTGTTTTCTAATGGGCCGTTCTGCTAGGCCGTTCGATGGGAGTGTGCCCGGTTACCGTCGGCGGAATCCTATTCCATCGGATGTCCGGACGCTAGCAATTCCCTACTTGGAGTCGTCATAACCATTGATCCTGTTTCTTGACAAGACAGAATGAAAGCGACCTGAGCTAAATGCTGCTTAGTTATGTTTGGTTTTTGGTGAACAAGAGTATGCTATGGTGATCATATGTATGTTCAACCAAAACTTGAGGTCTTCAAATTCATCGCGGTTCACTTAAACATCACCTTCCCTTTTCTTCAACCAAAAAAAAACAAGACTTTCAAATGAAGGACCTCACAAGTCACATCTGCCGAAGTAGTCAATGGGCCACAACAGTTTGAACCGCAGCAACGCAGCCCGTTACAAATCCGCCGTCGTTTCCCCTCGCGCACGGCACAAGAACCTGAACAATTTGTTCTCCTGAACAAACTAGCATATAGTATAATCGAAGCAGACAAAGTGCACAAAGCTGCAAAAACACTAGCAAATTCCTCGCCGATCAGGCTTGCCTACGTCAGTCTGAGGCGCTCCAAAATTCTTCGGCCTCATATTCATCTGCCATGTCCCAAGCATCATCAATCTCACAACATTTCGACATCCCTTGAAGCTTCAGTGTACCACCACCATCACTGACCCTGTCATGCCACCTCCGGCAATCGTAGTAGAACGCCGCGCAGGCGCAGCACGCGGCAATCTTGGCCGCGAGAACCGCCGGCCCGAGCACCAGCGCCGGCGCGCCGTCACCGCAGAGCCACGCCGGCACCTGTTCGATTTCGGCGGCCACTAGACCAACGGCGACGCCGTGCGCCCTGCGCCCAGCGACGAGCGCCTCGGCCCTGTGCACCGCCGCGCGGCCCGCGTACCCCTCCTCCTCCTCAACGACGGCGACGACGAGGCTCATCCTGCAGGCGATGTCCGAGTGCGCGAACAGCACCGGCGCGAGCCACCCCACCAGCGCCACCGACCCGGACGCTGTCAGGAGCCCGACGGCCGTGCCGGCTGCGACGGTGGCGGCGGCGCCTAGGAACGGCCGGAGCGTGAGCAGGAGCGACGCCATGGCCGTCGTGAGGAGCTCGATGTACAGCGCCGTCGCCGCGTGGCGCGCCCACGTGCGCCGCGCCTCCGCGAGGAGGTCCTCGACCTCGAGGCGCAGCCGCCGTCGACGACCCCGTCCGTGGCTTCCGCCGCCGCCTTACGCGGCCGAGGCCACGTACGCCGCGACGACCGTGGAGGCCATGGAGGCCAGGTACCCCACCGGCTCGACGCCGCGCGCCGCTGCTGCTTCTGGGTCGTCGTTGTCGTGCGGTACGGAGAGATTGGAGACCGCGAGAGCCGCGTGGCAGCACGCCAGGACCAGCAGCGCGACGGTGACCGTGGAGCGCTTCGTTTCGTCGCCCATGGTATTCTTGACGGACGATGAGCATGGGCCTGGAACGGCGCAGCAGGCGCTCGCCATGGCCTTCTTGACACGGTGGGTTCGTGCTGACTGCTCACGGCGGGCGCGAAGCGGAACGCGCCGGGTCCTATAGGGCGAGCTAAACTGTTTTGACTGCAATGCGGCAACGCCAGCTACGACTAGCTCACTTGGTTTGATCAGTTCTATTGCGGCAGAAATTAACGTGTTGCTTAGCTTCTTGAAAGCTCGAGTGGACTGGAGAACAAGTAATTTACCAGGATTTAGGGTAACAGAAATATATGTACAAGTCACAACTCAGACATAGTCAGTACTGGTGAGTGGTGACCAGCATAGCTTGCTGGTCACCTGATTTGAATAATTCAGGCGTGTATTAGAGCATAGAACAATGAGAATGTTCCTCCGATCCGCAGCACATTCATAACTTGCCTCCCAGAGCTGCATACCCGGGGAATAATGTCATGCCGAGCGTGAACGCCAACTGCGACCACTTCAACAGCTTCGATCTAGCCGTCGATAGCTTTGGTTGCTTTAGTTGTTTTGATGTCTTTTGTTGCTCATTGTTTCATTGTACCGTCTTTTGTCTGTCTAGTTCGGATTTATTCTTTTTAATGTATATAACCGGGAACTCTATTCGTTTTAAAATTCAGTGCTGCACATTCGACTTGCAACATAGAACTAGCACGGTCATCCCGTGAAGATTTGCACTAGAGAGGCTGAAACAATTTCCTTGAAACGAGTAAGGGCTGAAAGGGCAATAGCATAACAAATCAAAGCAGCACGGATCTGCGCGAGCAGGCAACCAAATGATGCATAGCTGCAGAAACATCAACCATCAGTGACCCGTCAGAACCGTAACCATCTTCAGATATTCAGAGTGTCGACTGCTTTGCTTAGAGCCTCCAAGGTAGTACAAGCAGTCAAGCACAGAAATGTGAAGTACGAATCCGCGTCGGACACTCGGAGCCTGTAGGATGTGGATACAGAGCGTCCTACTATCTGCAGGATTTCGCCACTTGTTGCAGAAGCGAGAACGAATTAAACCAACGGTACCCAAAAAAAATACAGAGGAATGATTCAAGGGTGGTCTCTAACTCTACGGCTAATGGGCTGCAGCCTGCATGTTCTGGATAGAACCGCTGCCTAAGCTCGCCGCACAGTCTGGCCAAAGGGTCATCCTCTTCCGCGTCCGGCGGCCACCGTGAGCTCGCGCGCACGACGAGCTTCTGCGCCGCCGCGTGCGTCTCACGCAGGCTCCCCCTCGCTCCATACAGCCACATGGCCATCCACCAGACCGCCACTATGGTGCCGACTGCGGAGCCCTCTCCCCCGCGCAGCACCGTGGAGGACGGCCCTGCTTTCTCCGGAGACGCTCGATCCAGCCGGTGCCCGCGTGCCGAGCGTGAGCAGGAGCGCGACGCCGTGGCCGTGGCGACGAGCTCTACTGTTTGACGGCGACGCGAGTGTGCATATATGCCGACGGCTACGACCTGTGGTGCTGATTCCAGGCAGCGTGAAGCCTTCAACCAGACTGGAAGGGAGAATCAAAGGTTTTCATCATCGTACTATGATACTACAATAGGGAGAGCTTGTCAGACGTGTAGGAAAACTCAAAGGGGCCTCGCCCGGCGCGAGCTGCCTGAGCGTGGGTCGCTCGCTCGCTAGCTCCGCAGGGCTGATTTGTTGTTCTGCGCTCAGCGACCACCGTGTGCACGGACGTGTCACCATCCGTGCTCTCCCCCGCATGCAAGCCGCCGCGCGCGCACCAGTCCACCATGCATGTGGAAAAGAGAGATCCAACGCTGCGTGCATGCATGGAGCGGAGCAGAGACACGACCTTACCAGACACGCCCCGCATGTCTCGACTTTCCTTCAAGGGGACCAGCTCAATCAGCTCGATCCTCGTCATCTTCCGGCACTGATGAGCTGATTAATTGGGGTTTTAGACTCTAGTTCCATGCAAGGAAACAAGCGCTGCAGCCGCGGCGTTTCTTCAAAATCAAAATAGTATTATATTAGTAGTATCACAAACGGCACACTTAAAACGCCAGCTCAGACAAAGCCTAGAGGTAGAGATTTAAATTTCTCGCATGAACAAGCACGTGTTCTTTTGCACCGCGAAGAGCTACGAATTTGAGTCTTTTAACATTATGCCATTATAAAAGATGGTCCTGACTTACGGGCCATTAAAAAGTTTGAAAAGAGAGATCCAACGCTACGTGCTTGCATGAACACGGCCCGCATGTCTCAACTTTCCTTCAAGGGGACGAACTCAATCAGCTCATGTCATCTTCCGGCAAGCTGATTAATTAGGGTTTTGGACTCTAGTTCCATGCAAGGAAATGTGAGCAACCCAACTTGATTGCTCACAAATAGCAGGAATACAAGACCTCAGTGTGAGGGAGGTTTGGAATCAGCAAGGGATAGAGGAGCAGGTAGAGAGAGGGAGAGAGTTGGGGCAGATGAACAGTACTAAAAGAAACATTCTGATATTTGGTAATTTATTTGATGCCGCTCTTTGGCCTTATCCTGTTCCTTTTGTAGCCAGGGTGCCACTCTGGCTTGGGCCCAGCTGGCAGGTGGTCCCTAACATTCCCCTCTCCTTGAGTTACGGCTTGCCCTCAAGCCGCCGCGATGATCTTCCATGTTCTTGTGGTTGAGCAGACATCTCTTGGCAGAATGCATCCTCCTGGACCATGTTCTCGACGTTGCGCACCTTCGTTCCCTCTGTGAGCTTCTGGAACGAGCTTCACGCCAGCCACTATAGGCCGAACGCACCCAGTAGCATCGCGCAGAGCACCTGTATTGCGACCCTGCCACCAGAGTCCACACTCAGCTCCTGGTGGAAAGACAACCTTGCCACCACGCTGTCGCTGGGCATGTAGAAGTAGACGAGGGGGCGCTTGCCGGAGGCAGTGCAGAAGCGACAATGTGGAGCAGGTTGCAGTGCACGACGAGGCTGATTGACTCCTTCCCTGTGCTGAACAGGGCCTCGTAGGTGTTCGACTGCCGGAGGCAAAAGCCATGACGCAGCAGCGAGGCAGAAGAACGGCCGCACCCAACCGGCCAGCTGCAGAAGGTGCCGCAGTGAGAGCGGACGCCAACATTATGACCGAGTTCGACGAGAAGGAGCCGGTGTAGCGGTCACGGACACCGGAACGAACTCGACATGGTTGGGGCCTCGTACACCGTGAGGGCGGAGTTGGTGTGAGCTCGCTTGGGAACTCCGTGTCCTGCCCCTCAAGGTTGTGACACCGATGGAAACGACGAGGTGGCGGATCGGGTTGGGGTGCTCCACCTTGGATACCAGCGCCGCGTACACCTCCTCCAGCACCGACAGGAACTTGCTCACCGGCTGGTAAAGCACCGACTCCGTCGTAGCCTCCGCCTTACCGAGGTGGTCGCCATCGGTGCTGTGAAACTCAGAATCAAAGGCGGCGGCGGGCGCGAGCGCGAAGGGAAAGGTGTCGGAGTCAGAGGAGGTGGCGTCGAAGAGACCGCCCCAGTTGTCGGCCACGACGAGCTACGTCGCGCCGAATTGCTCGAGGCCGCCGATGCGGAGCTCGACGGCGGCGCCCTACTGCTCTAGCGCGGCCATGGCCCACGAGAAACGCTGCTCCATCCGAGCGTCGAACTCATCGAACTTCCTGAGGATCTCGTCGAAGGCAAGCTTGAGGGAGGGATTCATGGTGCTTGGACCGAGAATCAAAGGCTCTGATACCAAATGTCAGCAACCCAACTAGATTGCTCACAAATAGCTCGATTCAAATAGCACGAATACAAGACCTCAGGGAGAGAGAGGCCTGGAATCAACCAGGGATAGAGAAGTAGGGTACGGAGAGGGAGAGAGAGTTAGGGAAGATGAAGAGTAACTAAAAGGAATATTATGATATTTGGCAATTTGTTTGATGCTGCTCTTTGGCCTCATTCCGTTCCTTTTGTAGCCAGGTTGCCAGTCTGGCTTGGGCCCACGTGGCAGGTGGTCCCTGACACGAAACAAGCGCAGCAGCCGCGCGTGTCGTTTCTTCACAAACGGCAGTTACACTCTAAAACTGCAGCTCAGACAAAGCCTAGAGGGCTAGAGATTTAACTTCTCGCATGAATAAGCGCGTGTTCTCTGTTGCATCGCGCGCGGAGAGTTACGATTTTTTCACGAGCTGCAAGCGTGAGAGTACACACGCCAAGCGATCGATCGAGTGGTAATAGCCTTGCGACTCGCGAGTGGAGTCATGTCAGGGAGGAGGCCATGGCAGCAATCCCATGTGGCCATGTGGGCGTGGCGTGGCCCGGCCACGCTCGTCTCTGCATGCGGCTGCTGGCGCGCCACGACCGACGACGCCCCGGGCACGGGGCACGTCACACGTGAACGCTGGGCCGTATTCCGCATGCCACTTCTAGCCCGGCCGGCCGGTACAATAATACATACACGATGTCACGATCCAGCACGTATGAGCGCGCTGCCTCTTTCCTTTTCTTTCTTGTACGTGGCTCCGTACGTATTCTTGCTCCATCTGCGCCGTACACGTACTGGGCTGTCATGATCGATCATACACGGCGTGTACGGGACCATGTCCGAGACACTCCATCTAGCTAATGTACACGTACGTACTGCTTCTGTATTATGCTTTGTACGCCCTTCTGGTTGCAGTGTTAGCAACAGCCAACAGAGAGTAGTATCTAGCTTAATGCTGTCATCATGCATGGTGCAAACATTATGAGAAATAAGGATACCGATCATTGTCGAGAGATGACAAGGACGACTTTGATGGTCCGACGTGATGCAGGATATGGTAATAAGCTAGTGGTGGTGTGCAATGTATGCGCGTCAGTCACTATGTTCTTTTCTCTTTTCTAAAGTGATTTACTGTGGTAGCAATAAACTAAGAGATCACCACACGTGCTAAAAACACTAGCAAAGATGGTACTACTCCTACAAGAAGACATCGAGGTAGGCAGAGGCAATGCCGCCTTTCGAGTTTCGACTGCATGCAGTCCCCTCGCCTAAAACGGTGGCGCGCCGTAACTCGCGAGCGAACGAAAGG